TCATCGCGTCTACTGCACCTGTCCCGCCTTTCGCTCTAGGCTCGAAACCGAAAGGCGCCAGGAGCATGACGGAGCAGGGCGCAGGCTCGCGTATCAATGTCTCACTGCGGAACCCACTTTCTGTTCCATTTGGCCCTCTTGCTCTTCCCTCCTCCCAAATCACGATCTTGTTCGATCGTGCAAAACTCGCAGCAATTCCCTGAATGAGACAAGTCTCACTTGCCTTCAGACCCCCAGGTGTCACCTCACACCCCTCCCGGAAACGTTAATCCAGCGTCTGTCCACGGCCGTACGCCGCAGCCGCGCTGCGTCTCGACTCTGGGAAACACCCCACTGGACCCGTCCTCAACGTCCTCTGTTCAACCCGGATGCAGGTACCGCCTACATCGAGACCAGGCGAGACCTCTCTTCTGCACACCATCACTCTCGACAGGTACCGTACCTGCATGAGCCTGGGCCTGTGTAACCGCGACGAAGAACCAACGACACGCCCTGGCCAGCCGCAGCCGCCAAGCGAGATGTTGCATCGTCGCCCGGAAACAGAAGAATGAGGAACCCTTTCTCTTCACTGCGCAGAGTCCGATGCTCAACCGCTACGAGGAATCCGAGAGATCTCGACCTCGTCGCCATCGTGTCACTTGTTTCAGTCGCCATGTCCGAGAAAGGATCGAGACCCTTTCCCGGGAGGCGTGAAGGCCTATCCGAGGGCTTTCTTACTTCCTTACGACACTGTCAAGATTATGGGTCTCTTGCGAGAAGATTGAATAAGGGACCGAGACATGGGCTGACGACTCTGGATGGGACTTGGAGGAAGCCCGCGCAATACCAGGACAGGATGACCCACGTCCTGGTGACGGTGTCTCAGCTGGCTGGCTCACGGCAAGTAGATACGAAGTCGAAAGCTGATAATCCATCACTTCATGAGCAATATGCGGATACGATATCGTCATACGTCCTTCATGGGTCATACGCAGAGGCGCTTGATGAGGTAGGATCCGAACATCATTTCCTGCTTTGATGTATTGTCTTCCGGCAGGCTTCGTGATCCGGGATCATCACGGTCGTTTCATCCTTCTCATCTTAGCCCTTAATCACCAAGATCTTGATCAAACATGATCAACATCCAACAAACACAAGCCACGGAAATCGTTTACATTGTGCGAGAGCAGAAATTCTACACACGAAATGAGGAAAAACGTGTCTTACCGTTCACTTTCTGTGGTAAGCGCGATCCAAATCTCGTTCTCTGACCAATGATTCTCTTCTCAGAGGAAGTTATGGCGTTTTGGCTAATGGCAGATTCCGTGTCCAACTCTTAAGGTTGCGGAGGATGTGCGTGGGGCCTTGTCTGCCACAACCAAATCCGGCGAGAGGCAGACCTTCTCTGTCGTCGATTCTCTGTCAGTATCTGCAGTGTGTCTTACTCCGGGTCGCATCTTCCGAGCCGCTGCCCATCTATACCTTTCAAACATCCTGCCGTCCAACACTCCGGGCAGGCAAGGCCTGGCGGTCCAGCCATCAACCGTCCGCTCGGACTCGCCTGGTCGACGGCAACCTTCCTCCTCCTGGCAGTATCCCCGTGGCCATCCCTCAGCCCCCGCCGTCATGACAGCTGCAGCCTCACGCCAACCCACGGCAAAGCCAGATTAGCTCATGATGGCCCTGTGCCCTATGCCTCTTTTTCACTTTCAGCCCGACTTGAGGCGGCCGCCTCTTGGACACGAGCCACAGTTTATCCTCCAGTCATAGACAACTGGGGAATTAACCGGCCATGTTCTCGTCCCGCCTGGACACAGACACAGTCGGGTTTACCGTACAAAGGCCTCCGGGGCAACTGGACTTTCAGCAGACCGTTTTACTCCGCATCAAATGTCCGTCCTCCACAAGAGTGAGGCTCTGGTCTCGACGTCAAGTGGCTTCACGATCTGCGTCCCCACGACACGACCCCCATGGCTAGTCAGCTCTCCCGCCCGCCAGCGCCTATCTAGGGCCTCAAAATCGTAAGATGTTCAATGTTCAACCAACCAGCAGCCAAGGACCCCTCTTCGGAGGCCCTCCGGAATCTACTGTTGCCAAGCCGTGACCCCTCCTCTGACCATCGATAAACGCTCCATGATGCGGTGCTGGGTCCGGGCAAGCGGCGCCCACAGGTTGGACTACTCTCCCAAATTCTCCGAGGGCCATGAGAATGCGGCCAAACATCCCGGGAAGCCTAATTCGACACCCCCTTGCGTACAGACCCCGCGATCTTTTTCAGCTGTCAACTGCCAACCAACACAAGTCTTGAATGCAAATGCAAATCAAACGCCTCCCTAGACAGGGACTAACAAACCGTCTTCACACACAGACTACAACCCGCGGCAAAAGAAGCCTGAATCTTGACTGCAACGGCGTCCCCCAGGCTGGAACAAAACTTCACACCAATCAGCCTTATCATCATCCCTCGAACTGCCGAGAAGCCACCCACCACCAAAGAGCCGACCCCAAAGAGGGTAAACACACTCCATTCCAGGACGACGCCGGCCCCCAAACCGACCTGCATGTACCGTCCTCTCGGTCCCGAAGCACCTGCCTTAGCCTACACGTGAAGCTCGAGGACAGGGCCAATCCATGAATTTGGGGCGGCAGTGAACCACGGCGCCACAAGTCGCTTGACGACTACCCTCGCTTGTCATGAACAAACAACACGCCCAAACCCGCCGAGCTGTTCCCTTCCCGCCGTCAAACGAAGCCTCTCTTACCTCCACTTGATATGTCATCATCTCAGGTCCCCAGTAAACAAGCTACGGGCCTTAGCTCCCAAGCGTTCTCCTCCCCACCGCTGCGCGGTACTTTCGCTCTCCACCATGCTATGCCCACCTCACGATAGCCTCCTTGACGCCCATCCCTCGCGCAGGAACCACCCCTCCCCTCCTCGCCTACGGCTTCCAAGTTGGACATAGCTCCATCTCGTTCACAACATCACATACACCCTTCCTTCCCCAAGATCCTTTGAACCCGCCGCGAGTAGCAATTGCCAGTGATTGTGGAAACGAGTCCCGAGACAACTGTTTTCTTTCTCAACGTCCAGCCAAGAAAGGAGAACCCTCCCAACATCGTGAAATGCCAAGATGCGTTGAAAAAACATAACGTAAAGGGCGGGTTGCCATCGACCCGCCGGTCAAACCTGGACTCCGTTGCTCCAACTTTGCCCGGTCCCATTTTACAAAGTGTTCCCAACCTATCCCTGGCCCAACGTTCCCTCTCCATCATCACCCGTTCCCCCGAACTTACCCCTCTGACCACTCCTCAGGACTGAAGATCCATCGCCCGATATCCCCATCGATGACCGTTATACCAACAAAGAAACCCCATCACACAACGCCGGAATCGTCCTAGCACCCCCTCTCTCTCTGCTCTACCAAGAAAGGCTCCAGACCACTTCACGGAGCTCCCCGGCCTTACTCTCCGATAGGAAACATCCGGCCCACTCCGTCTCTCCCTCTTTCGTCTCTTCCTCCCACTACCTCTGTATCTCCCGCACTTCTTCTGGTCGGCCTTCTCTCCTCACCGGCAGCAGCACAGCCCACACCACCATCACCAGCCCCATCACTGCCTCACACTCACCCATCCACACTCACCCACACACACCGGAAGGCCCGAAACAGAGCCACCTCCGGCCCTCCGGTACGGACGTATCGATACCCTCCACCGGAAACCTTCCCTCCCTCCATCTTCCGTGGGCCATACTCCAAGCTACCCCATTGGCTTCTCGGTCAATTCTCCGCACCGCAAACCAGTCCAGAACTCCAGAGACCACTCATCCACGTCCACACACGATGTTCCATATCGGCCGAGCAAATAGACTTCCAAACGGGCGCGACGGAGCACCAAAAAAACACCAAAGATCCAAAGTCTGTTGTCCATCGGCCGAAAGTAGATCGAAGTCAAGCTGTCATCCGAACCCCTCCATCACCAGAACCTTGTTCCTGAACTTTACCTGCCGTGATCAAGGTCAAGGCTCTGCTCGGTCTAGAACATAAATCATTGATCATCAGAAAGTCTTCACCGTCACTTCTCAACTCACCGCGACCAGCCTGAAGGGTCTAGACCATCATCTTCCTCCTAAACGGTCAAACTATCGCTCGATCGTCAAAGTCTTTCCTCGCCCCCTCCTTCGGCCGCGACAAGGTACCATGTTCTGAAGAACGGCCGTAGATAGCCTCTGGCTACGTTGCATCGGCCGAGGTCAAGGTTCGACCGTCATGTCCTCATGTCTCGTTCGGTGTCCATCATATCCTTCACCGGCCTTGAGCGCACCATGACTGACATCGACGTGCTCTGGCCGACGATGAGCTGCCCCCTACTCACTGCCTCTCTACGATCCAACGGCCAAGACATTGTTTGAGACGCGAAACCTTGTTAACAAAGGGATCCATTAGCTATTTTGATTTTCCTATCAGGGGGGTTTGTGTCCACTCCGATCAAATCGCGCATGGGTTGACCTCGGTTCAGATGGATGCCTTCTCCGTCCCGAAGTAAGCCCTTTTTGATTCCCTCCCCCCAAACTTAGCGTCCGGGCTGCTGTCGATGAGACCTTTTCTCAATCAACAACCGCAGCCTTATTTACAAAGTGAAAGCCATCAACCTGCCTGCCCGCCGTGATCAGCGTGCCCCGGCGACCTCCCAAACAACAAATCAACGCCGAAATCTCGGGACGCCATCCTCAATGCCAGAGAGACAAGAGTTATAAGTGGAACAGAGAGAAAGGAAAAAAGATACCATTCCGTCTATGGTGTGATGCTCGTCATAACTCAAGGTGAGGACTCATGCCTGCTCCCCCACGCCTGGCACATTATTTCTGAACTGGCTGTGTCGAGTTTTCAAATACCTCATTTTCCGAGGGAATACCCAAAACTTGGGATGACCAGGTTGTCATCAACCGACTTGCCGTAGTCCGGCAAATCTTTAGACCGTGCGGTATCTACCGTCAGAATGGTAGAAATCATGGCGGGTCATATCTAGTGCTCGTATCCAGCTCCACGCTGCCAGGGGCTGTACTCTTTGTTAGCATTTGCATGTTTACCACGTCATGATTTGTCTTTCTCACCTAGCGTTGTTCTGTTGCCTGTACTGGGCAGGGCTGCCGTTGTTCTGTTGCCTATATTGGTTGGCAGCCAGTGTTGACCCTGAGCCGTTGTACGGGCTCGGTGTGCGTGTCGGGGGCTGGCCGTAGGGGCCGGCGTTGGCAGGGAATAGAGGCACTGAAGGGTCCACTGGAGAGTGTTGTTGGTGGCCCTGGTTCTGCTGGCGCTGGAAAGACTGCTGAGATTGCGAGTTGTGAGACTGCGCAGTAGAAGGCGGCAAAGCAACAGCCGACGGGTCGGCACGGCGACGCATAGATTCGGACGAGATGGAGTCGTTGTCATCATCGAGGTCGAGACCCTTGTTGTAGTGAGCCTTGTCGCCTCTCGCGGTAGCGGCGAGCGCATCGAGCTCAGTCGTAGTGTTCAGCTGCGTCTGAGACTTCATGAAGGAGGCGCGGTCATCGGCCATAAACTGGTAGCGAGCATCGGGGTTCTTGCGGAAGAAGATCAGAGTGCTGCTGACGATAACCAGGAGCAAAAGAATCAAGGAGAAGGCTGCGTTGGCGATGAAGAGAACAACACCAACGACACCGTTGACAAGGGCCGGAGCGCCGAAGACGTTGGAGAAGATGAGCAGGAACACAGCGTTGAGGAAGTTCATGACGCAGATGGCAATGTTGAACGAGTTGGTGCTCTTGTCCATCCAGGGTCGCAGAACACTGGCCGCGATCAAAGCTCCAGCCTCGATAATGACGAAGGCAATGGCCTGAACAGTTCCACTGCGCTGAGCAAAGGCGACGATAGCGCCCTTGACAACAGTGTAGCCAAGAACAGGAATAATAAAGTAGTACGCCGATGCGCGGAACTGGACGTAGAGGAAACCCCATTTGTTCAGGGCCTGGGGGTCGGAGAACAGGATGTAGGCCGGGTTTCGGTGCATGGCGACGGAGCGGCGAGCGATGCGGACCACCTTAGCAGCAGCCCAGCCGAGAGTGAGAGCCATTCCAAAAAGGAAGAAAACGGCAAGAACAACTTCAGCCGCAGAGTCGACCTGGGTAAACTCCCAAAGACACAAGATGGTCATTTGAGGGAAACCAATGAGGGTCATGCGGAAGAGAATACCCTTCAGGACAGTGAACCAACCGTTGCGGAATTCGAGGAACTTTTCGCTCTTCATCCACTTTTGTCTAACAGCCAGCTCGCAGAATCCCTTGAAGGCGGCAACACCGAGGACAGTAAAAATGACGAAGATGCAGAAGAAGGCCAAGCCGGTCATGAACAGGTTGGTGGACTCGATCTTCGCCCTGAATGCGACTCGCTGAATACCAAAGACGATGTAGCTGCCGGAAGAAAGCTGAATGTTGGCTCGTCTAGCGATGGAGGACATGCCAACGTCAATGCCACGCTTCGCCATCCTGGCGGCAGACATAGCCCAATCCAAAGATCGCTTCTCAACCTGCACGGAGGTGGTCGTCAAAGAGTTGAGCAGAGTCGCCGGGGTTCCGCCGGTAGCTCGCTGGTACCAAGTGAAGATATCCTGCATAAACTGAACGCGGATGATACCCATAGACCAAACAAAGTCCTGAGTCCACGACTGCACAATGGGAGGCAGATGGATACCGGTGAGACCCACAATGGCCTGGGACTGGAAGTAGCCGAAGAGAGAGAGGGTGTTGGCGGCGACGTGAGCGGCGGTGTTGGAGTGACCAAGACCAGAAACAACGGCGGAAGCAATCAGACCGAGGCCAGCGATGATAGCAGTAGCCCACTTGACGCCAATCAAGTCGACGGTCTTTCCATTGGAAATGTCAGCCTCGACACAAGCCACACTGTCCTTGGTGTCGGTCATGTTAACGTAGACCTTGACGGTGGCGTCGAGATCGGGGATGTTGTAAGCAATTCCGGGGATTTGGCTGACAGCGTCTTCGCCAACCTGGAGGTTGAAGTTCATGGTGATCTTTCCTGCAGTCATGGGGCACAGACCAGCGAGGTTGATGCTGCATGGGTCGACCGTGCGTCTCATGAATTCGTAACCGTAGACGGAAATAGCAACATCGAAGACGATGCTGCCCTGGACGGAAGAAACGGCGACGATGTTGATGGCGGCACTTCCGTTGTTAGGGGTGAAGACGACATTGAACAAACTGGCCGTGAAACTTGAGTCATCCTGGCAAGTGTTGAGCGACTTTGAGACGAGCATCTGCTCAGCAGCCATAACCGGGGTGGTGACATAGGACGCGAGAGCGCCCAGCAAGAGGAGCGGCTTCGCGAATGAGAAGCGCATGGTGAAGAGAGGGTGAGTGGTCGTTGCTAAGCAAGTGAGTAAAAAGGAAGTTGAACGGTCGCCGGCGGGTGGTGGTCGTCGGTTTGGAACGGTCGAAGCGAGAGTGGTGAAGAGAGTCGAGGCCGTCTAGGTCGAGTGTATCATGGGGATTGGTGGTTCACGGATCGTTCCAGACGGGATCGCGTTGGTAAGGAGATGGGAGAGAAGCGAAGGGATTGATGCGGTCGCTCCGGTTGATGGTTGAAAAGTCGAGGTTCTCTCCAGATGGAGTGAGTCGCAGGGAGGTCTGATTCCGTGGCAGGGGATTGGTACTAGCGAGGGTTATCTGCCGGTGATTCCACCTGGTTGGCGAGGTGGTTCCTGCTGTCGATTGTCCGTCCCTTTCGATTTCCGTTCAGGTCCCAAAAACAGGCCTCCTTGATCCCCAGCAGCGGATGCAAACGCAACAGCGGCGAATGGCGTCGTGGTCGAGGTTGGGGTGCCTCAGTCAGGGCGCGATAAGAAAGCGGTTATCGTGTCGTATGGTCGTTGTCGTCAATGGTCGTAGTGTCAATCGTTGGTTCGTAGAAAAAGGTCTGGACGGTCGGCGGGGAGGGGGGGAGATGGGAAGGGTGGGTTTTGGTGGTTTTGTTGTTGGCGGGAGATTGGAAAGGAAGGGAGAGAAGGGAAGGCGATCGCCAAGCGAGGGTGGATGGGGACAGCAGGAGTGATGAAAGGAGGCGCTGCTGCTGCCGCTGCTGTGACCTGCGGTGGTGGTGGTGGTGCCGGGTGTGCTGGGCTAGGCTGGGCTGGTCAGTGGTTTCTCTGAGACGGCTGGTCTTGGTGGTTCGGATTCAGGGAAAACTGGGCAATGGGTAAAGAGCGTGAGAGCGTCGTGCCAGGGGAAGACCCATGGGAACAGGGGCGGTTCTTGTGTCTTGAGGACAGGGGTAACCAAGGTTGGCCGGGGCCAAATACGGGGGTGCGGGTGGGAGGGAGGGAGGGAATCCCGCGCAGTTGAAGCGTGAGCGGTGGATTCCCTCGCGGTCTCGGGATGCGGTTGTGGATGGATTTGCGTGTATGCGACAGGGGTAATGACGGTACGGGGTGGTGCCGGCTTGGGCTGCGTAATTTCGATTTTTGGGGGGAGGGGAGCGGATGCACGAGTTTAGCACTCGCCTCGTAGCACCCAGCAAGTTGGTCTTACTGCCACATAGTGGTGCTGGCAGGGCCTAGCCTGTGTGCAGAACCTGCGGTACGTACTCTTCGTTAGCACAGAGGCTGCGTTCCATTTACACGTCCTCTGCATGCGAGAGTCGCTGCTGCTATGCATGCTTAGGCGAGGCTGGATCAATACGATGCGGCAACAGCGGATCTACTTCCTGCACCATATAATCTTGAGTGAGTCAGTGCGTACTGCTCCCGTACCCGCGCCCCAATACTCGACTCAGCTCGTATAGCTGCTAACAGAGATACACCACACTCAAAAAAAAACACGGGCGCGTAAGGAAGGGGCGACAGTCCAGACGAACACGCTTGACAACCACAGGCTGCATGCACAAACAGAGTAATCTGAAGTGCTGTCAGCACTGTACGAATCCTCCACCACGCCGTCCATCGCACCCGACACCACACCTGCCTGTTGCTGAATTACGAGAGGAGATGTGAGGCACAGCAGCATTTCCTGTATGCTGTCCGGGGTTGCTCACCCACTGAGGCGACCTGATTCTTCTTTTGGGCAGCCCGTAAAGTCGGTAGGGAAACAAAACATCTCGCGATCCATCTCTCCCCATCTCGCTGCAAGGTCCGAAGCAGGTTTTTGGGCGGTCCAGTCCCTCTGACGACGGCTGATTGTCGCTGATGAGCGCTCCTGATGCACACCTCACCCGCCCGCCTGACGCCGTCCAATGCTGTCGAGACGCCAGCAGCAACACAGACAGGATCTCCGTCGCACATCGTGCATGGCGGGCTCCCGCAATCATAGCGTCATTCAAACCTCGACACTGCACCGCCATCCGAATTCTCAAATGCAATAAGCAGTCAGCCAAGACGGTCCGCCATGCACACCAAAAAGTTGTTTACCTTTACGAGTCGCTTCCAACCCAGCCAGCCCAGCCAACCGTCCCATCTCCATCTCCATCTCCATCTCCTCCCTCCCGCCTCTCTCTTTTGGGCCTTGTCTCGTGTTAACTTTTCCCAAATTCGACTACTGCCGTCCCTCACACAGCAACCACGGTCACAAGTACACACGCCGTCCATCGTCATTCCCTTTTCTCCAGCCTCTCTTTCCTCACCACCCATACAATGCCGTCCGAACCACCATCTCCTCTTTTCTTACCCATCGTAAGTACGGGGTAGGTCAGGGCCAAGACCCATAGCTCTGTCGGGTCCCGAATGTTCCAAAATGCGTCCAAGACCCTTCCAAGACTTCCAAGGCGACACTGCCCAAACAGCCCAACACGGGAACACTGACGCAGAATCAACAACAACAAATGTCAATCGGTATGTTGCTCATCGCCCGCGCGCCCATACAGACGCCGGCAGCAGCCATGCCGCCCGCGACATTGAGTGTTTGGGTCGCCGCCCAGGCCCAGACACAAGCCAGCAGCCAAACTATCAAAACCACTAGAGAAAGCCGCAAACCCACACTTCATTTCAATAAACCTCAAAGTTGTCGTCGCCCTCGTCTTGACTCTCGAGCACTGCCACATTCCCTCTCGACGGGAAGGAACACGACGGCCGGGCATGCATACGTACGCCTTACTCCAGCCAACCATGCCCACCATGCCATGCCTTGCCCTGTCGGGGGACCGCTTGCGCTTGCGCAGCTTACCTGAACAACCGGCTTCCGGGGAGACTCAACAGAGACACCCGAACGAGGGAGGCTCGCCGTCCGTTTCTGCGAGAAACATGTCTCTGCATCTATTAATCACAAGTTAAATTCCCACCAAAGAGGCTCGACGTCACCGATACATTCCCCGCCACGGATACCTGCCTGCGTGATCTGCCACCAGCGAGATACAGACTGGTTGGTTTGCCGGGGGAGGGAACTACGAGCCTGAGACGTCTAAAATTGGCCAAGGCACCAACAAGGCGGCTTCGTCGATTGGACAGCCAGTCCAACACTGACCGGGGACTCTCGTGCTCATCGGCGCCCACTGCTCTCTCTCTCTCTGTGTCCCAGTGCCGTCACCCGTTCAAAAGCATAGGGTCTTCACCAGAGATCGATGCCGGTTATCCTCACCCTGGAACACTTCCGGCAGCACCATCGTTTTCCCCCTCACTGCGAGCACCCGGCCAGTGACATGCCAAGTCACAGCCCACCACATGCGCGCTAACAGCGACGGATCAACGTCCAATGTTTTGGCCCGAGAACGAACCGCTGGCCCGATGTAAGAGGACGCTGAAAATCGCAACTTTGCTCATCCGTTCCCAATCGCAAACCCTCGCGAGAAGTCTCCAGCAAAAGCAGGTCTGGGCACGCACCGGGAGGCTGTGTTTTTTTAGCCATCAAACCATGACTTCTGGAGTTGCCTCATCGAGACCCGGAACTGCAACCTTCCAAGCCTTTCGTTATTGCTGGCTATTAACGTTTTATTACAAGGTTGATTTTTCTCACCCACCAATAATCACGCCTCGCACAGGCTCCTCTGCCGCTCATGCTCGTCACCCATGTTTTTCTTCGTCCGTCTCTGCCGTCTTGTCGCGGATCATGGGTGCATCGCCACGATTCAGCTCGAACAAGCTCCAACGTTCCGACTCTAGACGAGCGCACATCAAACATTATTCAGAAACAATCTCAATTGCAAGAGCTCCAAGAACCCCACATTTTCAAATTTCCCTCTCCTCCTCCAGACCTCCAGTCCACCACCATAACGCAACACCTGCGTCGAGGCCTTGACAGTGGTTCATCTCCAACCGCTAATTCAAATAAACAATCCCATGGATGTGGGTTCTTCTGGCGATTGGCACGAGCATTTCATAACGCTCATCATACCAAAGTGGTTCTCACATGCCATTAACCTTCTCCTTGCATCGAGTAGTTCTCTCCATGTTTCTTCCTCGCCAAACCAGACTCAATGGCACTGTCTTAGTAAGAGATGGCCCGGTTGCAAGTGCACCCCTTGATTCTTGTAAGCCGGTGCACCATGTAAGTGCATGGATTACAAGTGACAAACGATTGATGCATAATCAGCTCCACTAATCGCGAAAGAGCTCATGCGGTACGCCCTTATCTGGGATAACAGACTTTCAGGGACCACTGCACTGTCCGCCAGCCTCTCACGCCCAATCACGAGATTTTCAATGTCTATGACGTCCTCATATATCCAATAAACTTAATCGACAAAGCAAGCGTAAGGCGCAAAACCACACAAGCGGGCAGCGTTCCCCCCACCTCCGAATAGCCGCGGCATTCAAGACTCCAACATTGAAACAAACGACAAGAGTCATTGGCAAGAGGAGCAAGCAAAAATCTACAGAAACAATGTCGCACGTAGCACGCAGCATCCGCCCGGCGATCCGCCGCCTCGCCGCACCCCGCCCGGCGACGGCAGCCGCAGCAGCACCCCTCGTTCTTCAGCGCGGCTTCGCCGACAAGCCGCCCATCTACACTGAAAAGGCCGTCGACAACGAGCTGGGCGTCGGCGAGCTCGAGGGCATCAAGTTCCGCGTCGAGCCTCTGCGCCGCGTGGGCGAGGACGAGCGGACCATGCGCGCCCGTCTGCTCTGTAAGTCTTATCTGGATCTCGCAACCTCGGTCCTTCAACAACAACCTCTGACAAGGAAACCCGGACAGACCAATCCCGCAAGCGCGGCACGCTGGAATCAGACCTCCTTCTCTCGACCTTCGCCAACGAGAAGCTGCCGACCATGAGCAAGGCCCAGATGCAGCAGTACGACCTCTTCCTCGACGAGAACGACTGGGACATCTACTACTGGGCCACCCAGGAGGAGGCCCCCTCCGCCTCCGCTAGCACCACGCCCACCACCGGCGGCAGCCACTCCGACGGCCTGTCGTCCGCGACGACCAACGCCGCCGAGTCCTACCGCGGCGTCGGCGCCGGCGCCACCTCGACCGTCGACGCGGGCCAGAAGCGCGAGGACCTCAAGCAGCAGCAGCAGCCGGGCCCGCGCGCGGGCGAGTGGTCCAACACCGTCGGCACCTTCAAGGCCGCGTACCGGCCCGTCCCCGCGCGCTGGAAGGGCAGCGAGATCCTCGAGATGATCAGGACGCACGTGCGCAGCCGCAGGGCGGACGGCACCGTGGGCGTGCACCGCGACGTCCAGGAGAGGAAGGAGGGCGGGCTGGGGTTCATGCCGCCCCTGTTTGACGTCGACAGCGCCGGCAAGAAATGAAGGCGGGGGAAGTGTAGGTCTATTAAGTGAGGTTGAAGAGTGTAAAGATAAGCTGGCGGTTGTCGGGACGAAACGCTACGCATTAGATGTACAACATTCTTTCAGGAAAACAGGCATTCATTCACAGGCGCGGGCGGGTGGCGGATGGCATAGACAAGCGTTCACGACGGCTTCATTGGAAGCCCCAAAGCATAAATAGCATAATATGAGTGTTGCGTAGGGAAAGCCGGCTTCATTGGAGGCTGTTGCTACTACGGCTTCTACAGGCTGAGAATATACCAGAGATGAGGTGGCTTCTGCCGATATTGATGTACTTTTGCGTTCTTCCTTTATTCGACACGAATCTTGCACGTCCGCTGATTCCAGCTGCAGACGTGGACGGGCACGTTACGGATTCAAGCAACGAAATCGAATTTAATCTACCTGTGTCAAACAAGCACCTTTCTCTACAAAGGACTCCCCGCACGTAGTTTTATCTGCGGCACAAACCACCGAATGGCAAATCATTTTTAGCAACCCATGAAGGGGGGTCAAGGTTCCATGGTTGGCTGCATTTCCCCTCCAGCAAAGTGACGATAAGCGCCATTCGCCAAACGCCCGAAACCTGATGTACCAACCCATCTGGATTGCTGACTGTGTTGCGCTGCTGCACGATGATGGCGCCGTCCCGTCCGCTAACAGAGGGGGATCGACAGGGCAGGCAAACCTGTATTCTTCTTAATATCATTCGTATTCAGCCCTCCATATTTATATGGCCCTTGGCGCGACATCAGTTGAGTTTTATGCCGGTGTATGTGTGTGTGTTCTTGAACGGGTGACGGAAGATTAAGAATTCATGATTGAGTTAAGGCAGGGTGCCGCATGTCTGCGACAAAACCATAGTATATCCATGAATAGATCGTCTGAATGCGGCCCGGTCCCCCCCAAATGCTCCTAAATGCCAAACCCAAAAATCCCGGTGACAATCACACCACCCACCCCCTTCCCAAACCGTAAAACACCTTTTCTCGAGACGCCTCAATTAGAAACGCCATTCTTTCTCCAGCCATATATGCTGCAAATATACTTCATCCCCAGCCAGAAACCATCGCCTTTCGCCACCCAGTTCGCGCAGCTCCCAAAACCGGATATTCGCAGTGCTCCAAGATTACCCTCTTTTTTCATTTGTCTTCAACCTCACTCATACTGGTCCCACTGCTGGTTCCACGGCTTGTTCGTGCCTTGGAAATCCATCCCGTGCTTATAGCACCCGACCAGCTCCTCCTGATCAACACCGCAGTGCGTCTGCCCGTCACGGCCCTCGAACCAACCCAGACCGTACGTCTTGCCCAGGCCCTCGAGGTGGCGCACCATGCCCGCGTTGCTCAGCTTCGAAGTGCCGACGAAATCATAAATCATCTTGCTCTGGTGGATGAAGGCCAAGTGCGACGAGATGGTGTTGGGCTGTCGCGGCAGGAACGGGTGTCGTCTCCGAAGAAATACAATCGTTGCCACCGTGCCCATGTACACCAGGATGAAAGTGGCCAGACCATACGAGATCCAAAAGGAAGATACGGTCTCCTGGCCGGCGTTGATCCCGCCGAAATCAGAACCGTGGTGTACCTCGGGCGGCTTGAAGGCGGCGTCGAGGAACTCGGTGCCCACCACAGTGGCCAGACTGGTCAGCAGCACCGTCAAGAGCTCGGTCATCATGGTCCCGAACCCGACGAGGAACATCAGGACATGGCCGTTGAGGAACGCCTGGAAAGGCATGTAACCGAACGGCATGGCGGTGTAATCTAAGGTAAGCGTCCTTGACGAAGAATGCCGTTTTGACAGGATGTAGTAGGGTTCCATCATCCGCATATCTGTTTCCAAGCCTCCCCAGCCTAGCTTGATGCAAACGGCCAGAGCGGTCACAACCCAGGGCGCCTTGGTGGTGATGATACTTGCGTCGGAGAAGAGAAAGACAGGAATGAAGGCCAAGAAGAGAACGAGGCCGATCACGTACGGCAGGTAGCCGTCGAGACGCAGCATGCGCGGATGCGGGTTCTCTGAAAGGTAGTGCTCGCGGAACTGGTCCTTTTCTTGCGAAGAGAAGGGGTTCTCATCGTCTGGGGCCAGGGACGCGTTGCGAAGGATATATCGGCGGTGCTTCAGCTTGGCATGGATGTCGCTATGACTGACGACGTCTAGGTCCGCAAAATCTACCAGAATATGGCTCACTACAGCCATTGAAGCAAGACCTGCGATGCCCTTGACATCGGCTAGAAGGCCAGATCTCCGTCTCTGGAGGATGTATAGCAGAACGATGCCGAAAAATGCGCAGATGCACAGGGTAGAGGAGAGGAGCCGAGACCAAATTGCATGAAGGCGGATGACCTTCTCTTGGTCAGGGTGCGCGAGACGTGTGGCTCGGTCAGGATACAGAACGAACGCCGCCGCGCCGAATGTCGGCACCAGAGAAACGGCCAAAGACGTTGATATGGACGAGACGGCAACGGCGTAATGTCGCAGTTTCAAAGCTCGAAACGGCCGCAGCCAGCTTAGGCTCGTGACATAGTCAACGTTGATGGACTCGGCCGCGAGTGCGCCGCCATCCTTTGAGAGCTGGTAATAAGCCTCCAGGCGTTTTACCTCAAAGTCGGTAATCTGCCACAAGACACCGTAGGTGACGGAAAGCATTGTTGGAAGGAACTTGACAGCGAAGTACTGCTCTCCGGGGACATCGGCCGGGGATCGGAATTTGAGAAGCGGGTCATGGCGCGATCTTTGGTAGAGCAACTCTACCATGATGGCGAGCGCAATCGATAGAGCGATCAGAGCGACAAGGTAAGGCCATCTCATAGAGAATGGCTTCCAATTAGGATGTGGGTAGAATACTTGTGTCTTCTGGCCCTTGGTGGAGGGGAACGTAGCCTGGCGCATATTGCCCCCGTCGTCACCGAGATCTGGCCCGGCCATGACGCTGAGATCAACCTGGTCCGCATGTTTGGGTTTTGGCTCCTCGATAATGACCTCGATGACCTCGCCTCTCTTATTTGCTTCATCTTGGCCGAAAGCCTTGAGCGTCGCAGTGCGACTGAGCTTCCCACGGCGGGTGAAGGACCGCGTCAGTGACCCTTTGCGGCCAGTGGGCGATAACAAGAGCTCATCCCCCTTGATCGTGGTGTCTGGCTTGAAACCGGCGCCGAGGCCTCCCGTGAGGTGACCGCTGGCCTCCTGCTCCTGCAACTTCTTGAGAAAGCCGTCATCTTGGAACCCCATGGGGCCCAGGGTGGCGGTTACATCAAAAACGGGTTCGTCTTCCGAGACCGACTCGAAATGGGACTGGCTGATGGGCGCAGCAGAATGCAGGAGCGACAGGTCATGCTCCTCCTCGGGAATGGGCTGGTGAGAGCGCAGGAGAGACGGGCGGCGGAGGTTGCGGCTGGCCTTGGAGGATGTTCTCGACAAATCATCAACGGTGGCAGGAACAGTGTCGTATCCGGCAGCGCCAGTATAGGCAAATGAGCCGGACCATGATGAAGCCCTCGATATGCGGCGTGTGGGTTCGTCCGATTCGTGCGGTGACGGTGAAGTATGATCCGAGTGCAAGTGAGACTGGAACGAGGCAAGGGAACCCCTCCCGCGGAGTGGGCTTGAGGGGCCTTCGTGCTGCTGCTGGTAGGTGTCCAAGTCGCTGACCTCGGTCAGGTTGGAGATGCGATGGCTCAAAGGTGGTCTCGATGCGGATGCGGGGGCTTCAGGAGGTTGATAGGAAGCGCCAAAGCCTCCGTTATGCGCCATGATCTATGGCGTTTTCATGTCTCGAGGACACGGTCCGTATGCTGTGTCGGCGCGGTTTGTGTTCGTCGGAGCAGGAACGGCGAGAGTTCCACCGCAGTGGGACAGGTACCGAGTCGGGGCCGTCGGTGTAAGTCGCGAGTCGGGTGCAAACGAGCGTCGTGGTTGGAGCGAGCGGAGAGGTTGCTAGAAAAAAAGAGAAATAGAAAATATTGCTGTCAATCAACGACAGGCATTACCGATGACTCTGTTGCCCGGTCAGTCTAGCTCGCAGGAAATCAGGGGGATGGCGGGATTGAAAAGACGAAGACGCAGCAGGCGCGCGGAGATGGGGCAGCTGAAGGGCACGAGAGGTTTGTAGGGCTGCCGGGGGCGGCGCTATCTTGGTGGAGGTGTAGCGAGGCCAAGACTGGAGTGAAGTGATGTGCCCGAGGTGCGCGACGCAGGGAATGGAAAGCGCTTCCAATTCAGGGGAGTTCAGGCTGGGGCCCCCGCTAAGGCAGGGCAGCCGTCGTCGGAATGAAAAGACATTCGCATCTTACCTGAGTTCCCGTCACCGAGCTCTGATTAGGTATTCCGTATGTATACCGATCCGGCCGGGCGTTTCGTTGGTTCGGTCTGGCGTCGTCCAAAGATCCGGTCCCTCCAGGGGAATTTCGGACGAGATGATAAGGCTGAGAAGATGGGGTGACAGCACAGCAGCACGACCACGACGACGGTAGGAGGTCAGAGGGGAGGCGAGGAATGCGGCCAACATTAATGTCTTGTCACCAAAGCCAAAGCCTTCATCCATTCTTGCAGGCGGCGGCAAACGACTCGCCTTCCGGCTCCGGACCGCAGACTTATGCGTTTCAGATCCCAGGGCAGCCAGCAACCGTTGAGTCTTGACCAAGGACGGTCGACCCAAGGCAAGGTCCCCTTTATTTCGTTGACCGTTGAAGTGTCATCGCGACGATCCAGTCCAATCTCGTACCGGTCGAATCGGAGATGCGAAAGGGACTCTGCTTTCCCATCCCTGACCTCGTCGGATTTTCTGCCTCTGGACGGTCCTGACTCCGTCCATTCCCAGATTAAGCGTGGTATTGACGGTGGAGAAATGCCCATGGGACAATCACCACGGACCACAGCTTGCTTGCACCCGCGCGCGCGTGCTCCCTCTCTGCCCTGCTGCAATCTCGAAAGGGCAAGCTGCAGCACGGAAATTCGATAGTTGGTGCCTCCCCGACACCACTCCGACACTCCGGATCCGCTGATCTTGCCCTCGACATCGACATTCTGCATGCTGACTGGTTACCGTAAACGAGAGACAGACGCCCTACGCTATCCAGCGGAAACCCTCCATGCGCGGGCTGCCTCGTGGTGCAAACACTCTTATTATTCTTAGTAGTATGCATGCCCGGGCTATATTCAGCCCTTACAGCCGGATTCCCAGCCCACTCTCGCCGACGCTTGGCAAAATCGCCGAACGAGTCGCTGGCATCCTGACGACACGATGTTGACATCATTCCAGGTTTCGTCGGGGTCTGCGGGGAGGCTGTGTGTGATTGCGAATCAAGCCGCTTTCTCCAACGCGACATGCGGCGTCTGGTCAGAGGCAAGCATCAAGCGCGCTGTCGTGACTGGGTTTGCCCAGAAACAACACGGAGGCAGGTCCGTCATTGCTGCTGGCTTCCGACTCTGTAGATCAGGCAAGCAGGCTGTCAGGGTCGTCAAGGCTCAAGGCAGCCCTCTCTGACTTGGCTGCCCCATTCCATCGCCTTCCTTCTTGATTGAGAGACGCGGAAATGGTCAACTGATCTTGTTCTGCCTCAGAAGGCTGCGGTCGCCATCTTTCAACACTCCCTTTTCCTAAACAAGTCCTCGTCATGTACACCACCAGATCAAAGTGGTCTCATTTTGCACCTGTCAGTGGGAGTGGTCAACTGGGAACCGCACATTCATGGGCTTCCCTATCTTTTCCCTCATATTCTCCGACAATCCGCGACCCTCGAAACGCCTTCGAGTCGGTCCTGCCGCGCCTCATTTGCAGGCCATCCCGCCAAACGCATGAAATCCTCACTTTTAATCCGTCCCAACTCAGGACTCTCTTGAGACGAAAACCTTGACCGTTTGATCAACCCCAGGATTTGGTGTACTGCTTGCCGCGGGCGTCCCAGCGGCTGCGGGGCGCATACCCACCACACAGGCTACAAGGGTTGCGCTCCCACCTGCAACATCAACAACTACAACTGGTCGGTTAGCTCAGTTGGTTAGAGCGTGGTACTAATATCTCATCTGAGATGTTCAGTAATGCCAAGGCCGGGAGTTCAAGCCTCCCACTGATCACTTCTTTTTGCGAATCTTGCGAATGAGATGGATTTTTTTGGTATCGCTCTCGGATCGCATTTTGCGTTGTGGCACACACGTTCGTTGTTTTATTTCTTGGTGAGCGCATTCACTTGTTCCCCAGAAATAGGTGAGGTGAATGAGCGACATAACACGAGTGAATCGGCATCAGACTGCTGCAAAGGTCTACAACACAATTCACACCTTGCAGAATTGAGTAAGCCAAAGTCTTCAGCATAAGTGCCTATGGACGAGCTCTTCTCATTTGGGAGATCTTGCAAAGCCGTCACAGTTGTTCCCTGCCTTCACTTGCCTCTACCTTGACGATGCGTCAATCTTGCGGTCATCGCCCGAATCTCCGGCCAATATTTTTCTTCATGCCCTTGCACAGCTTGCTTTTCAATACGATATCGAGTCATGGTCATTTATGCCACAGCTGCCATCGATGACATTTGACATCTCCGTACGGTGATCCGGGGCAAGGGTCCGATGTGTAACACGACGCAGCTGCCTGAGGGCCCAAGTGTCAGTCCTCCGTGTTGAACCGAGACCGACATCAGTGGTTTTTGCATGGCTCTTCAGCAGATCTTCCAAATTCCCATGAGGCAGATTACGATCTCGGAAGATGGCATCCGATCATTCAAAAAGCGGAGCGGTTTCTGATGAGATTGCGCAAGGAGCGGCAAGCCCCCCATATGTGACTTGAAGATGAGTTTAGCCGGCCTATCCTGACGCGAGCTTGCCACCTGCTGAGCCTCAACATGTCGACTTTAAGCTTGGATTCCTCCCGGAGTAGCCCTTATACGTGGTTCCTTGATCGGTGGTTCTTGTACAGACGGGACGCTCCGTACGGTAGGTATAATTCGGTCCTTGACAAAGTAGTATGGATTGAGTTTCGAATAGAAGGAAAGTCTTGAGCACAGTGAATGCTATGAGGCTGCTAGCTCGCTGGTTTAAGAGGACTTTCGAATGGAGCAGGGAGGTAGTGAAGCGCAAGAGCTAGGCGAGCGTTCTGTCCGTTGTCACTCATCCAGCCGAGACTGCGCAAACGAATTCCATTAGAGGTTAAGTGGTACGCTTTCCGCTCTCCTGGCTTCATTCGTTTGTCGACCGTTTTGACGTCTTGACGGCGAGCCTTGTGATACCCTTGCAGAGTTCAGCTCAGATGGACATAGGCGTTGTCGCTGAAGTGCTCACTGACGATTGCTATTGACCAATTCTCTGTATCTTTAAACATCTTGGCCTGAGGGACAAATACCTGCATCCATATTGAAACAGCGGAACCTTGAAGAGACGCAAGTAGTCTCTATTATGTCCAGCGGGCTATAGCTGTCTATCATCAAAGCTTAGATATATTGCAGGTATGGCTTGGTTAATGAATCCCCATGGATATGGATACCTATGGGTAATGGGTAATGGGTAATGGGTAATGCTCATGATGCATCATTGGAGATGGTCGAATTGCCAGATCTAGGCCCCAAACTCATGACTTTGTGTCATGGGAAAATTCAATTACATAGTTCATATCGGTTCCTAGCCGCGTCCCCGTTGCAGAGACAAGTTCGAGACAACAA